TATTTAAGAAGAGGAATTAAAGATTAGAATGTTACATGAATCATCTCAAACTTAAAATAACTCTCCCCATATACAACATACAATAAAAAGAAAAGAAAATAAAAAGAAGAAGAAAATGAAGAGGGAAGAGGGGAAGAACCCCTCTTGGTTCAAGCATGCATGGAATTAAGGTGAAAAAATGGTGAATTATGGGTTGCCAAATGATGTTGGATGATGATAGATATATAGAGACTTGAAGAGAGTGAGTAGATCATCTTCCTTAGCATTATTAGCATATTTTTAGCCTGGAAATTCGGTCCCAAGTCTTCCCCCACTCTCAACCACCATGAAAATAGGCCAGAAAATGAGGTATCAGCTGTCTGCCAGCCAGGTTAGCGCCGCTAATGGTTCTTAGCGCCGCTAAGAAAAAACTGCACTGCGCTACTTCACGGTTTTGGCTCGTTTGGGCTCGTCCTAACTCGGAATTGAGTTCCATTTTTCTCTATGCGTAGCTAACGAACCCTTTTATCCAATGATGCTTGCAAACTACACTTTTGCCCAGAGTACAAATTATGTGGGATTTCCAACCTTTAAAGGGTCGGTAACTTGCACGGCTTCGCGTTTTGGTTCCGTCCGGATTCATCCGAACTCGAAATCAATTTCCGTTTTCTCCTATGTGTAGCCAACGAGTCCATCTACATAACCATGATTACCCGGTCTATCTATTTCCCTCATGGTGCCTTCGACCTGCACACGAAAAACAAGAATAAAAATGGGAAAAACATACGAAAAACACAAAGAAAACCAAAATGGAACAAAATACATAATAAAACACAAAACGAACTAAAAACCAACTTAAAGACCTAAAATGGAGGAAAAAGAATGATAAAATAATAACGAAAATCGCAACAAAAATGGACACAACAGCGCTCTGAGAATGGTGCTCCAGGAAAGAAATAATAATAAATTTTAGCCATTAGATCATATGATCAAATAGCTTATAAAAAAGTCATAATAAGACAAAATTATACATTCATTAATACTGTGGTAATTTTACACAATACACTTAAACATGTGGACCCTACT